GTCAGGGCCTGATCAACTGGCTATTACTGCTGGCCGCACGCAGTCCGACGTACGAGCCACAGCCCGGCTGATCCGGCACTGACTTTAGGTATCTGTCCAGCTCTCTCTTGAAGGCAGCCGGGGGTTTATTGGCAATTCCCCTAATGCTTGATGGGAGGCTGTTGAACAGTTTTGGGCCCCGGACACTTATGGTGTTTTCTCTTAGTGTACCAATGGCGCCCCTACTTTTATTGGCGGCATTTTGCATCGCCTGCCATTTCTTTTACTTTCGTAGGGAGTGATTTCTGTGTGCAGATTTGGGACCTTTCCCTTTCCCAAGATTTTCTAGTGTAGATTATGATATATCTCTCCCTCCTGCGTTCCAACGAGTACAAGTCAAGTTCTTCCAAGCGTTCCCAGTAGAAAGGGTGCTTGACAGAACTTATACATGCAGTAAAGGATCTCTGTACACACTCTAGATCTGCGATTTCACCTGCTTTGTATGGAGATGTTAAGTACAGCAGTATTCCAGCCAAAGAAGAACAAGTGATTTGAAAAGGATCATCAGGGGCTTGGCATCTCTCGTTTGAAAGTTCTCATTATCCACCCTATCATTTTCTTTGCACGTGCGATCGTGGAAACTTTGCATCCTTGAAAGTGAATCCTCAGACTCTACTACTCCCAGGTCCCTTACATTATTTTTTCGCTCTATTGTATGCCGGATCAGTAGTATACTCTGTTCTAGTTATTATCTCCTCCAGTTTTCCATAACGGAGTATTGGAATTTGTCCTCATTGAACATCATATTGTTTACCGTTGCCCACTGGAAAACTTTGTTTTATCTTCTTGGAGGTTAACCGCGTCCTCAGCAGATGACAGCCTCTTGCAGATCCTAGTATCATCCGAAAAGGATGATAGGGTTTGCTGGGGTGGTATATCTCTGTTTATGTCTGATATGAGGATAAGGAATAAGATGGGGGCGAGTACTGTGCCTTGTGGAACAGACTCTTCACTATGGCACCCTTTCCGATTTAACTCTGTTGACCACTATCTTTGGTTCGATTTGTTAGGAAGTTGAAGATCCATCTCCAAACTTTCCAGTTATTCCTTAGCACGTATTTTATGGGCTATTACGCCATGATCGCTTTTTGTCAAATGCTTTTGCAAAGTCTGTGTATATTACATCTGCATTATGATTTTCTTCCAGTGCATTCCAAGGCATGTCATAGTGATCCATAGTTGTGAGAGGCAGGAGCGACCTCCCCTAAACCCATGTTGCCCTGGATTGTGCAGATTTTGGGATCCGGGTTTGATTTGCAATCCTGCTTCTTAGCACTCTTTCAAAGATTTTTATGATGTGGGACGTCAGAGCTATTGGTCTATAGTTCTAAGCTAATGCTTTGCTGCCACCTTTATGGAGTGGGGCTATATTCCGTTGTTTTAAGTGACTGTGGAATTTCACCCATGTCCAAGCTCCTCCTCCATAGTGTACTTAGGGCATGCGAGAGGGGTTTCTTGCAGTTCTTAATGAAAAAAAGAGTTCCACGAGTCTGGGCCCGGGGCTGAGTGCATAGGCATGTTGTCAATGGCGTTTTCGAAATCTAAACGGAGTTAGGGTAATGTCGGAAATCTGGCATACATTTTTGGAGTTTTGAGGCTCATTCAGAAGAAATCATTTGGGTCGTCGATCCTCAGACCGATTAGTGGTTCACTAAACACAGAGTCGTACTGGGATTTCAATATTTCACTCATTTTCTTGTTGTCGTCTGTGTAAGTCCCATCCTGTCTGAGTAAGGGCCCGATACTAGATGTGGTTTTGCCTTGTTTTTGGCATATGAAAAGAAATATTTTGAATTTCTTTTAATTTCACTAATAGCTTTAAGCTCCTCCTGCTCTCCTGGTTCCTGTAAGAGTCATTTAGCTTAAGTTCGATAAATTTCCTCTTTCCCTGGTCAGCGCCCCCCTTTCGTGTATCAGATATTCTAGCACTCCTGAGGAGCTCAGTGACTCTCCGTCGTCTTTTGTAGAGGGGGCGTCTTTTTCTCTCCGTTTACTCCCGCTCTTCTTCTTTCTTAGGGAATATGCCTAGAACATGCCTTCGGCTACCAGGAAGTTGATCCTTTCAAAGGCACTGGTTTGGATCCATGTCATTTAGACACTTCCCAAAATGTTTCGTTTAGGACATGGTTTACCTGGTCCCAGTTGATGTTCTTGTTGTTGAAATTGTATTTTGTGAAGACACCTTCACAGGTACATGCATTCTGCTGTTCAGGACCCCTATGCATGTACGTCTGGACTTCGATTAGATTGTGATCGATTAGATTGATATTCTTATGTCTCTTATCAGGTCCTCATTATTTGTGAAGATAAGGTCAAGTGTGTTTTCTAGTCTTGTTGGCTCCACTATCTCTGGCTTAAGGTGTGTTTTTCGCAGAGACTTAGTAGCTCATGTGTGTGTGACCTTTTATCTACGCTACCTCCGGGGATTGTTTCAGCTATAACATTATTTGCTACATTCTTCCATTTTGTATGCCTTAGTTGAAATTTACCAAGCAGTTAAAATGTTTGGGGATGGAGCGGAAGGTTTTCCAAAACAGTAATCGATTTCAGTAGCTGTTCCTTGAACTGTTGGGAGGTTGCAATCTGGTGGCTTGTATACAACCACAATGACTAGGTTTTGGTTCTCGATTTTATTGATAGAACTTCAACTACCTCATTTGTGGTGTTCAGCAACTCCCTGCAGATAAGGGACTCTTTGACATACAGGCCAACCCCCCTTGTTGCCTTTTTTTCTGTCGCATCTGAAAAGGTTGTAACCACTTATCCATATTTCACTGTCAAAGTGATCTTTTGTGTGAGTCTCTGTGAAGGCTGCAAACATTGCATTAGACTCCACTAGAAGTCCCCTGATAAAAGGTATTTTGTTTTGGTGGATGGGTTAAGGCCTGTATATTGCAAATTATGAACGAGGTTGTATTCTGTGTTTGTTGGGGGATTTTGTTATTGGCATCAGTAGTTGTAATTCTGGAGGCCATGGTGGGCCCCTGGCTGGCCCCCAGTTCAACAAGGCCCAAGGTGGTGGACTATTTTTGTTATTTCCTTCCATTTTTTTTTTTCGTTTCCTGCCACTAAAAAATCACCTGGAGTTGGGTTGTCGTAGCTACTATTGTTTGTCTTGTGGGGTCTGTGCCTCCTGGTCCCTTTTAGATGGTATGCAGGCACTCGATGTTGTAACACTGCTTTTGGAGGACCGAGGAGTGGCACATTTTTTGGGTGAAAGAAAGTTTCAGGAAGAAGAACGACACACTCCTTTAGACAGGAGGTTTGCTTACATTTTTTGGGATGGTCAAAGTTGCATGTCCCATTTTTTCCCCTGTTATTCCATGCTTACAGATGCCCCAAGCATAATATTTGCACAAATTCACCTTTGGTTGAGGGAATTTTTGGGGGGTGTGTTGTCAATTTCTGCAGGTTCTGGGACTGCACATAATCCTCAGTATCCAAGCCAGGGCCACCCCGTCCTGGATTTCCATCTACTTTCCCCAGTAGGGAAAGGGGGAGACTCATCTCCAACATCTGTACTGTGGGCCCGGTCCCTTTTGCAAAAGATGGTTGTATATTTTACTGTTTTTGTGGTGGTTTGGGTAGTGTCCCTAGGAGATCTGGGCTGGCAGTAAGGCTGGGGCTGGGTCTGGTCAGCACTGGGGTGGGGGTGGGGCTGGGTCTGGGCCAGCACCAGCACTGAGGGTATTAGTGCTATGCCTGGGGGAGCCTGGGCCAGCACCGACTGTGGGTATTAGTGCTATGACTGGGGGATGGGGCTGGCTTAGCACCATGTGGGTGACTAGATAGTTTCGAGTCAATTGTTGTGTAATGGACATTCGCATTTTTTGATACACTATCTCTTTCTCCCATGTTTTTTATATTTTTTTGGGAGACTATCCAAGAGGTCATTTTTGTTTTCTTGATTATTTTTATCAAATTTTTTACTCCCCCTTATACCTTTCTGATACCTGCCCAAAGTTCTTAAAATCTTTATTGCACAACCAGAAGCACCTTGCTAGTTCGAGGTCATTTTTTTGAGGCTGTATTTAGTCTAGTACAAAAGATATGGTGTTTGGAAGAGCATAGGTTTTCATGGATTCTGGATTTCCTTCCAAGGATTTTTTACATGTCCCACAGATATGCTGTTCTGACATCCTGTCTGTATCCTACTACACTGTATGCCATGGAAGAAAACTGATTTCCACTTTACCTTTCTCTTGTTGGTGCCAGTAATATGCAAGATGTATTTATACGAACCAAGTTTGCAGTATGTGGGGGGGTGGTGTAGGGTGGGTGTAGGGTGGGTGGTGGGTGTAGAGTGGGTGGTGGTGCAGGGTGGGTGGTGGTGCAGGGTGGGTGGTGGGTGCAGGGTGGGTGGTGGTGTAGGGTGGGTGGTGGGTGCAGGGTGGGTGGTGGTGCAGGGTGGGTGTGAGCCGGCAGACTTGCCCACACTCCACACTTCACTTAGTTAGGCCTATGCTAACTTCCCCCTACACTTCTAAGGAAAAGATTATTTCCTGTTTAGTAGAGGTAACGGTTGTATGCTCAATTTATGTATGCTGTGATTCCCTGCACCTCAATGCTACCATCACTCGTTTCATATCTTATGACTATAGTAGTTACTTATCCGTTATTAACACTTCACTGGACCTCTGGCAATAGTTCGCTAGTGCCAGTCGCTTGTAAGATATTCCCCTATCTACACTATATATTGTACGCTATACTTGGGGATAATTTAGATTACTCTTATCTACAATTTAGTTCACTGTGCCACTGCACATATATATCCTTGTCACTCACTATATTACTTATAGATAGATAATGGTGAAAGTTTTTCTTTTTCGGGCCACCCTGCCTTGGTGGAAATCAGCCAGTGTGATAATAATAAAAATATTATTTATTATTATTATTATTATTATTATTATTATTATTATTATTATTATTATAGTGACTATACTGAGTAAAACTCTCAACAGATTGACAGTGTGCGAAGTGGTGATGCAGTTAAGTTCCTGCAGTTGTCTGCTACTGAAGATGCTGCATCAGTGCTGGTGATGCAGGAGGCGGGTGAGGCTGGGGGTTGCACACTGCTGGGACTGGCAGCCATCCTGGGTCACCACCATCTAGTATCACCCTTGCTGTCTGCTGGGGTGGGTGTGGACGATACTGGTGTTAGCACCCGCACACCTCTTCATCAGGCTGCATCGTATGGTCACGAGGACATGACAGTGGCTCTCCTGAAAGCTGGAGCCAATATAGAAGCTGTCAGTGAGAGAGACAATGGTAACCCAGGAGTCTGTTGTGCTAGTCAGAGGTAGTGTGTGTGATGATAGAACATCTAACATAGATTGTCGGACTGTATTTGTTTTAATTCACGTTTACAGTCAAGGTTTACATTTAACTTTTTTATTACAGGCTTGTATAAAAAAATATTAGAAAATTACGTATACAGGATATGTACACTAATACAATATAATGCATTTTGTCCACACAGTGGGATTTATCAAGTCAAAAACAAATCTGCCTGAACAGAGAGTACAAGAGTATATATAGGGAGCGTAGATACACGAGTCTGGTGGAGAATGCTGAGAATAGGTTGGATTTGAAAAAGATCTGCCCCGGAATGGGCAAGTAGGTTTGTTGCTATGTAGGATAACAATGAAGGAATTGTCTGGAAAGAGGTTCAGCATGGAACTTTCGTTCTGTTGAGTAATCTAAGTCACACCCTCTGTTTTAGTTTATTTTCACCATTTTCAAAGTGCCCACTCTGAAACCTCGCCACGTACCATGACTCGCTGCTGTTTTCCTGACAAGTATTCCCTGATCCATTGTAGTGCCTTCCCTGTTATCCCTGCTTGGTCCTCCAGTTTTTGCACCAATCTCTTGTGTGGAACTGTGTCAAACGCCTTCTTGCAGTCCAAGAATATGCAATCACCCACCCCTCTCTCTCTTGTCTTACTGCTGTCACCATGTCTTAGAACTCCAGTAGGTTTGTGACACAGGATTTCCCGTCCTGAAACCATGTTGGCTGCTGTTGATGAGATCGTTCCTTTCTAGGTGTTCCACCACTCTTCTCCTGATAATCTTCTCCATGATTTTGCATGCTATACGTGTCAGTGACACGAACATCATATTGTTGTCTCAGACCCACTGAAACACGTGATTTACATCAGCTTGAAGGTTCTGTCTTCGACGAACGTCATTCTCACAGAGGTTCAATTTTCATCACTAAACGATGGCACAGTCCTATGATTTATTTATGTTTTCCCAATATCGGATAAAAGAATAAGGAGAATACTGGGGCGAGTCCTGTGTTTTGGGAAACATCTATTCACTGTAGCAGCCTTCGACTTCATTCTTTGTTTTCAAATTAGATCCTTGACCACATTAAAGGTATGTATTAAAAATGCAGCGCCAAACGCATTAACTTTTTGTAAAATGTATACTCTTTACGTTTTTGTTAAACATTGTGTCCATAGAATATTAGTGTTATATTTTATTCATTCATTAAGTCTACTCATGCTCTCGTCTCTGATAAAGCTCCAGTGATATGGGTAACATCTAGTTTTCTTGCCATGTCACAGCTGTGCTCAGCACAGCGAGCTTATTCAAATGTTTATAATCCATAATAGACCTCTGATAATTCTTCACCTACTTAAACACACGTTGACTTGAAGCTACAGGTGCTGGTAAATTGACAGAAATATGTATTACAATTGTGATATAAGGAAAATCAGTTGAAGATTCAAGATAAAGTATTTCTTGAAGTAATTCCTTTTGATATCTTGTTTCTGTACTCTCTGAAGAAGTACAACTGCTAAAAGTATTCTTCATTATAAAGACTGTGGGACTACTAAAGAAACAAAAAATGCGCAGATTAGCTGGTTACCACGTGACAAATTTCCCTTAAAATGCATTTAAAGGTCATTCAGGTTTATCTTTGAAGAAAAGTGAAATTTTGTATGTTTTAATAACCACAGTGTTTTGGTAATAATTATAAGAGTTTCATCGAAAAGATATTTTTTAAATGCTTTAAAAAATTTTTTTGGCAAGAATTCTGAATCCCTTATATTCTATACAAGATTATACATAACTTTAAAAAGACTAAAGGTTTTTCAAACTTTCTCAGTAGATTCTAATCCCTGGCAACGATTTTACCACCTAAACTGAACCGGTTCCTAAGCGGGGACATTCTATGCAGTAAAAGGGAAGGAACTGCTCAGATTTTTCCCCTTTTGGGGTTTTTTTAAAAAAAAATTACCCTTTGTAAACATTTTCGAATTAGACCCCTTTGTAAAATTTCTGTGGTCAACACCTGAAAGGTTTGATAATTTTTTTTCACAGTTCGATTATGCTCAAAAAAATTTTGTACTTCTTCGTATTTCCAACCAAAAAGTTCCTTTTTTAAAGCAAAACCCAAAATTCACGCGAAATAAAAACCATTGTCCCCTTGAATTATCAAGTGTTTGTGCAAAAATTTAATTTTAAATTTTCTTCTGAAATTATCAAAAAATTTTAAAAAATTTCATCAGTTGTAAGTGTTGAACTTAAAACTTTTGAACAAAAACATTTGGTTTTTTTTTATTAGAACAATCTGGAGTGGGTTTATTATAATTACAAATTACTTGGCCAAATCTAATTTCTTCCAGAAAATTGTTTTTTTGGAAAAAAACCCAAAGTTCATTTAGTGGTTTTTTTACACTTGTAAAAACGATAAAGGATTGCATGCACTTTAGGGTCTCTTGAGATTCTCGGAACGTTTTTGTGCCGGAAAAAAATTTAAGCTATTTTACGGACATTTAGGAGGAAGAGAAAAATTGATTACTACGGGGGTGTATAAATCGGGGGGGAGGAAAAGAATTTAGGGTGTCGTAGGAAGGCTTAACGGAAGGGAATAAAGGAGGCCCTACCCCCCGGCCGGGATTAACCCGCGGCATAAGTCTCAAAAATCCACCCTCGCGTTAGCCACTAGACCACTAGCACAAAAAGAAAATTAAACTAGGTATATTTTACCCATAGGGAAAATTTGCACAGGCACCTCTGTGACCACAAATGCAAGTTTTTACAGACGAATCTCCAGCTAGCGTGGCCGGGGCTAGGGGCTTGTACATCCAGCAGGTTTATGTGAGTTTGTTAGATCTGAGTGAATGGAGGAAAGTGGCTTTTACGATTTGACGTTCTAGTGTAAGCAAGCTAACGTTAATCGATTCAGGGAAAACTATTAGCCTGACTTTAGTCTTGGAGGTTGGAAGTATGTATAATGACTGCACTCTGAAGAGTTTTCTGAACTGTAATGTCAGCGCCCTTCTGGCAAGAGAGTGGTTGAATGAGCAACTGTGAAAGTGTTTTCTTTGTTGGATCATCCTGACTCGGTGTTAAAAAAATTATTCAATAACTTAATTACGTCTAAAACGTTTTCATTTGCTTGATCACCAATACTGATAGTTGAATCAAAGCCAATTTTCGTGTTCTATCTGTGATGAGTTTGTCAGGTTCTAAACACATTCCTGTAAGCTGAATTATGATTTTATAAAGATCTACACACAGTAAAACATTGCTTCAGCAAAATCTTCTTCGGCAAATTATCGTTGATTTCATAATTGTGAAAAATATGATTATATTTTAAAATATATAATATATATATAAATATATATATATATATATATATATATTATAAAATATATAATATATATATATATAATGTCGTGCCGAGTTGTGAAACTGGTAAATTAGACAGAACCATTTAAAATTAAGTCCTTTCTAAAATTTTCTCTTATACGCTTAGTATATTTTTTTCATTAATGTTAATGTAAAAATTTTTAATTTTGCATTAAAAGAATCTTAGAAAACTTACCTAAACTTCCTATAACAAGAACAATTTATTTTATCATAACCCCAAATAAATATATTTTGATTTGTTTACAATAATTTTTAAATAAACAACAACCAGCACACATAAGGGGGATTACCAACAGACCCCTGGCAGTCTTCAAGCTGGCACTGGACAGGCACCTAAAGTCAGTTCCGGATCAGCCGGGCTGTGGCTCGTATGTTGGTTTGCGTGCAGCCAGCAGCAACAGCCTGGTTGATCAGGCTCTGATCCACCAGGAGGCCTGGTCTCAGACCGGGCCGCGGGGGCGTTGACCCCCGGAACTCTCTCCAGGTAAACTCCAGGTAAACAGTGAAATATACTTTTTTTCGTTAGGTTCAGAATGATTTTGGCGAAATTATTGCATATAAAAATTTTCGCTTGTCCTATATGGCAAGATGAGCGTTGCTATTTAAGCCACGATCGCAAGTTCTGCCTATTCGGCACGACATATATATTATATATATATAAAAATTTATATATATATGTATATATATTCCCTATTTTTATCATTCTACCTTTTCGTTGCATGTACGGCGACCAGGGGAGAGAGCGCTACACCTGGCGTGTCGTTACGGTCGGACGAACCTCGTTAAATTTCTACTGCAGGAGGTGCTGAATTTAAGCTACAGACAATGAGGTAAATTCCATACCA